AAACGAATGACCGGATTACTCAGTCGACTCTTCGTTACCTTTCGATTTTCGAAACACCGACCCAAAAAGTCTGCCTGAAACCAGCACATCGTTAGCGTCTTCGTCAAACAAATAATGCATAGAAACCAGGCTGTTTCTCAAAGCGCCCCAAAAAATACTTTTTAAATAAGTACGCATTTTTTAAAATAATTTTCAAGGGGATATTGGATTAAAGTTGATAGACATTCAGTTATTCATAAAACATTTTTTATTATCTGAATTATTTACTTTCGATGAAGGCAGTGCGCTACAAATATTGAATTCAGAGCATTATCAGCAAAGGTCTTACATCTCAAGGTGGCGAAATACCTATGGGTAGGGAGGGCCAAAGCTGATGTAGCTGTCGTTCCATTTTTGGATGACGAACTATGGTTTGTTTACGGGATGGTGGCTATTCTTGGTGCAGTTTGAATGTTTTGAGTAGTGAGGCAAAGTTGCAAAGGCATGCTGATGAGTTTGCAATGAGAAACACACGAGTAGTAGCATATAATATACACTTAATGACAGTTTAATCATGCAACAGCTGAAGCTACCCTGAACTCATCTTGTATGCCTCTTTCAAACATTCTGCCTCTCAAACGTACGACTATGCGGGGATTCTTCCTCTCCTCATCGGGAGAATAGCACCATCGTTATCGCCTGGAGGGAAACCGGTACCCGAACAATTCAACAGAGTAAAACAGAAATTAAATAGGATTTACAACTGGCAACGAGCGACAGCAACCGCACAGACTTTGCACATCTGCCCCATAGTCATCCCGTAGCAGAAAAACTTAAATGAATGAATCAGACGCTTCATAACTTTAAACTATGCAGATCCTGAAACAAGTCTGGTAGCATCCTACACAAGAAAGGCATCACAGAAAATAAGTAAAGATCATATAAGATATAAACTGTCGACTGGTGCGGAGAATCCTTTACCGGTAAAACAGCCGAGCAACTGAAAAGCCGGATCAAAGAACACATGGCTTACCTCGACGGCGCAGATGAGAAGGGCTCAGTTGTTTTAGAACATAGCATACTAAAGAACCACGACATACACGCAACAATGTCACTAAGGAAAACCGGCGAAAAAGGAAGATCTTTTAAGCAGTCACGACGGAACAGACAAAATACATGATTAACAGTAAGGAAGAAATATATAGCATTGGTAAAACGTGGCTTATTTTTTTACATGATGAAACCATGAATAGATACCAATGGAACTCGAACTCGCCTGCAACTTCACTATAATACCATCAACATTAAAAATGCATCAAGAACAGGCACGAACTCGCCACATAAACAATGCTCGACATTCAAAAAAGGGCGAAAAACCATATAAGGTTTGGCTTTACCAACAGGCATATTGCAACCTTGGGATACAAGTTCGTTGAAGAAGTCATCTAGGGCTTCACAATGGTTGCCCAGTCCTTAAATCCGGGCTAAACTATTTTAACAAATAACAGAGTTTTTTAATAAGCCAGTATGTTCCTGTCAATTCTTTGGTGTTTCACGGCGTAGCGCAACGTCTTTTTGCTTCTAGTATTTAACGGCAACCCTTAACCCGATAACCACGGCTCCATGGTACCGTAATACCATCTTAGCACATGCACTGCATAGGTG